TTTGGTGTTGGAGAAGACTCCTGAGAATACCGTGGAGAGCCAAGAAAACAAACTGATGGATCATCAAACAAATAAACCCAGAGTTCTCAGTAGAGGCACAAATGGCCACGCTCAAATTATCCTACTTTGGACACATTATGCGAAGACCCAGATCTCTGGAAAAGGCTCTAATACTGGGAAAGGTGGAAGGAAAGAGAAGAAGGGGACAACCAGCAGCAAGGTGGATGGACTCAGTTACTGTGGTGATGAATGCACCATTGGGAGACTTGAAAGAACTGGTTAGGGATAGATTGTCAAGGAGAAAATCTATATTTCTGGTTGTTAGGAGTTAAAAATGATTTGATGGCACATAATCAATTAAACAATTCTTTGGAATTTATTTTACTTCAATTTGTCTGGGCATTTCACAATACAAAACAACACCAATACAGTACAACAAAATAAATAGAAATACAATAAGAGAAATCAAACAAACTGGCAACATCAGAACATATGTGACATATTGCAAATATATTTAGCAAAGAGGTTCTATTAGAAAAGTCAACTTAATTTCCTTTCCATTATAGCATTCACTTGTTGGCTGATATTGACTGACACTATTGTTGGCATAATTGAATGTATATTGTGATAATATTAATACATAAAGTACATTTACAGTGGGGCAAAAAAGTATTTAGTCAGCCACCAATTGTGCATGTTCTCCCACTTAAAAAGATGAGAGAGGCCTGTAATTTTCATCATAGGTATACCTCAACTATGAGAGACAAAATGGGGGGGAAAATCCAGAAAATCACATTGTCTGATGATATTGACCAAATACTTATTTTCCACCATGATTTGCAAATAAATTCTTTAAAAATCAGACAATGTGATTTTCTGGATTTTCCCCCCCATTTTGTCTCTCATAGTTGAGGTATACCTATGATGAAAATTACAGGCCTCTCTCATCTTTTTAAGTGGGAGAACTTGCACAATTGGTGGCTGACTAAATACTTTTTTGCCCCACTGTAAATGTACTTTATGTAGATATTGACCAAATACTTATTTTCCACCATGATTTGCAAATAAATTCTTTAAAAATCAGACAATGTGATTTTCTGGATTTTCCCCCCCATTTTGTCTCTCATAGTTGAGGTATACCTATGATGAAAATTACAGGCCTCTCTCATCTTTTTAAGTGGGAGAACTTGCACAATTGGTGGCTGACTAAATACTTTTTTGCCCCACTGTAAATGTACTTTATGTAGATATTGACCAAATACTTATTTTCCACCATGATTTGCAAATAAATTCTTTAAAAATCAGACAATGTGATTTTCTGGATTTTCCCCCCCATTTTGTCTCTCATAGTTGAGGTATACCTATGATGAAAATTACAGGCCTCTCTCATCTTTTTAAGTGGGAGAACTTGCACAATTGGTGGCTGACTAAATACTTTTTTGCCCCACTGTAAATGTACTTTATGTAGATATTGACCAAATACTTATTTTCCACCATGATTTGCAAATAAATTCTTTAAAAATCAGACAATGTGATTTTCTGGATTTTCCCCCCCATTTTGTCTCTCATAGTTGAGGTATACCTATGATGAAAATTACAGGCCTCTCTCATCTTTTTAAGTGGGAGAACTTGCACAATTGGTGGCTGACTAAATACTTTTTTGCCCCACTGTAAATGTACTTTATGTAGATATTGACCAAATACTTATTTTCCACCATGATTTGCAAATAAATTCTTTAAAAATCAGACAATGTGATTTTCTGGATTTTCCCCCCCATTTTGTCTCTCATAGTTGAGGTATACCTATGATGAAAATTACAGGCCTCTCTCATCTTTTTAAGTGGGAGAACTTGCACAATTGGTGGCTGACTAAATACTTTTTTGCCCCACTGTATATATATTTACACTTTAAAAATATGTATTATTTCAAATCCTTGTTAACTACAAACTCATTAGTATTAGAGAACAAAATTTTGGTCAATAATAAATTCATGTCAGACAAAATTATACCCACTTCTTTTTAAACAGCTCCTGCCAAATCTCAAATATCTATCATATTATATTTTATTAGCTTAGCAGAGTTAAAGTTACTTTGCATAGTGCTAAATATAGATTGCCTTAATGTACATACTCTACAAGTGTAGAAATAATATTTGAATGGAAATGCATATTAAAATGCTATTTTCTTCAATCATTTATTTCTTGTGTTATGACATGGTAAAACTACTTTGGCAATATTTTCATTTTAATTTAACCTTCCTGTAGAAGAAAGTTTTAATGGTTATATTTGCATTCATCTGCTGAACTTATAACATGTATTTTTATGACTGTTACCATAAAGGACAATAAAAAGATAAAGGACAAAACCTATATTGTGAAAGAGGGAAAGAGTGAGGACCAGTCTACTCCTGATATTAATCATGAAGAAACAAATGAACCAGGCCAGGTATCAACACTTTTCATTTGATACATTGTAGTGTCTTCATTAATGGGAAGAGCTCTATGTTGTTAACATGGATTAAAATAAAAGAACAAGTCAGTGATCTGAATATTGCATTTTACAGCAGATATATACTTGTTTAATCTTTTTTGAATAAGAAAGTGCAAATTTAAGTTTTGAGTTAGCCGCTTTGTCTTTTTTCCTCCTTTTAGAGTTTGGAGGTTAAAGAGTAAAATTGATCTCTTAATCCTTGCAGGGGTGTGAGACACCCATGCTACTTGCTTAAACCCTCCAAAATATTGCGGGGAGGAGTTCAGGGTTTTAGCGTTGCTATGGGTTGGTTAAGCCTCTGCAAGGCTTAAGGCACATATTTCACCCCTTAAACCTCTGAACACTTGAAACAGGTTTCAAAAAGATCAGTCTGTGGGAGGCTTGTGGGGCCACAGATGGAATATTAGGGCACCTCATCTACCACATTGCCCATTCCTGTGGTAGTAAATTCTGATTTATGCTCTCTTACCCTGTACTAAAGTATTTTTAAATGATTCTGTTACAGTAGTTTAGCATCTATAAAAGCTCCCTTCCCCACAGCTATAAGGCTTGTTATTATTTTTGATTGTCTATTAAAATTTAAATACTTGCAAACTGTATTTTTTTACTGGAAGTATCAGTGCACAATTTGCTTTTTTCTCCTCCTTCTCCCCCCAGGACATGGAACAAAACTTGAAACAAATTGGACTCCAGAATTGGCAGGAGAAGAACATCCCAGAAGTAAAACAGAAAGCAAAGGTTCAACTTATATATAGTAATAATGCCACCTTTCTATTAATGTCATTTCACCTGGAATTTTAGTATCAGTATCTCTAAATTTAAAAGAATGAAGAACAAGGGGTCTTTTTCCTTCATTTTGCTATAATGGACATCTCAGCAAAGTAGAGGAGAGAAACTCCTTGTTCTTTGTCCGTTGAATTAATTTTCTGTTCCCCTCTTCCCCAGAGGGAGAAACATGATAGTGCATTTGAAGTTGCTACTTTCAATAGCACAAGACAGATGATCATCAATATATATCCGCTAACTTATATTTTAGCCATGACGTTTCCTCTGGCAGCTATGTACTTTTGCATTTTATTTTTCAGGGAGGTGTAAAGTTTCAGATTGATCTAAGAGGTGATGCAGCAGATGAGAAAAACATTCAGGAAGAGAATGAGGTATAATTTGGGGCCATAGTTACATTTGCAATTAATGATAAGATTGTATATGACATCAATCTGTGCATGGAGATCCCCTGCCTATGATAAAGATTATGTAGTAAAATAAGGGGAGTGTTCCACAGTGCTCTCTTTTTTGAAAATGTGAGGCCTACCTCATTGTTTAAGAAAGTCTTTAGATATGACAGCTACAGAATGTACCCTCCGCTAGAAAATGTGTAACTGCTGCACCAAAATAGGCTCTCAGTATCTTTATAAAATCTGAGTTATTTTGTTCCTGTGGCATAGGCATGAAATTAATACCATCTCTACAGACAAGCTGACACATTAAGAAAATAAAGATAATAAGAGTTATCCAACACTTCAGATTCGTAGGCAAAAGGTGCTTCAGGATGCAAATGTAGTTACTTGTTTGCAAATATTTAAAGTGGTCTTGCCTTTTCCCACAGCTACACAAGCCCAGGAAAAGACACGTTTGGTTTAAGGAGCTACAGCCATGGGTTACGTTATGTGCTGGCACATTCTCTGAGGTACCATTTTGCCTTTGAATGTGAAGCACTGTACCAACCTTTGTTTATTGAGTGAATTTACTTAAGCAAATACAATGTTATTTATTTTTAGCTGGAAAGATGGGATTGCTTAAATTCATCAGTCTTATATAAAGACATCTTCCTCAGCTATATCAGCTGCCAGTAATTTTTTCTCTCAGTCCAGATTTTCCGTAACATAGCACATGGCTGTAGCTCCTTACACCAAACATGTCTTTGATTGTGTTGCTATGGGAAAAGGCAAGACCACTTTAAGAAAACAAGTACTACATTTGCATCCTGAAGCACCGTTTGCCTTCAAATCTGCCATATAACTCTGATTATCTTTATTTTTTTAATGTGTGTGCTTATCCGTAGTATCAATTTCATGCCTATGCTTGCAAGAACAAAGCAGCTCAGATTTTATAAAGATACTGGGAACCTATTTTGGCAGCAGCAGTTGCACATTTTCTACTAATCTATATATTCCAATAGGAGAAGATGTGGCCATCAATCTTCCTCTGCTTGACCCTTGGTTCTGCTCTTCATGTATACCTTTCAGCATGGCATTCTGGTTATCATCTGCCACTAATGCTGGTCTTCAGATCTTCTAGTAAGACTCTCCAAGTAGAAGGCTTGCTCTTTCCTCAGCTTTATTTCACTGATTTCTGTTACCAACTGAACTCCTGGTGTTTAATTTTCATTTGGAATGTCTCTGCCATAGCAATTATAAGCAAAGCAACCACACCTGATTTATGTCTCAGTGCAAAAGGAAAAAAAGCCTGTGTAGTTACTAGGCCTCTGCAGCAACTTGGAGCCAAAGAGGAAACGTGTTTGATTTAAGGAGGTTGTGACAATATGAATCACCTTTTCCTTTTTGAGTCTAGGTTGATGCACAGCCCTGTTAGTGACATTGTAATCTCATAGAGGACACTCACGGAATATAAAAACCACAAAACATACACATAAAATAAAGTATTACTTCACACGCTTCTTTAGCTACTCCATATATTTCCATGAGTTAGGATAAATAGGGCATCTTTCACACAGAAAATGTGCAGATTGGCACATATAAAACTGTGAATCAGGTTGTGATTTCTATCCTTCTAAAAGAGATTCTCAAAATGATTGACAGAAAATATGGCACTCTCTCTGTGAAATGTCCTTCTTCTCATGTAAAATTTGAGACTTCATGAAGAGAGTTTAAGTGAATGTCTCACTGAAAAGCATACAATAAATATAATAGATATTTGATAATTAAATTTGTCTGGTTCTGATATGTTATTGCAATGTTTTTACTTCTTTTACCTGAAGGAAAACAATGTGAAATAATTTTTCAAAAGTCTTTTTGTGTGTTTGATTTCAGCAGCATGATAAACTTAATGAAACACTGACTTTTGAAAACGGAGAAAACCTTAAGAAAAAACTGGCAAACTATGAGGAAGAGTTAAGGCACTGGAAGATGGGTATGCTTCTTGAAATTAGTAACATTGTTATCTGTCAGATAAGGTCACTGAGATCTGCTCAGAGTTAGACTCCAGCTGTGGTGGTCTTGTGGAGATGACTAGGGCCCAGTCTTGTCTGATGATCTGGGCTGAGTTCCTGAGGAAGTAGACAGGTTTCCTGGGATGTTGCATCCTGCCACCTTTATGTTAGATCCATGTCCCTCCTTGTAGGTCATAGCCATCCAGGAAGTGATATTTAGCTGGGTTCAAGCAGTGGCAAATGCCTCTTTGCAGGAGGATGTGATTTCTCTGGCCTTGAAAGAGGCTGTGGCCTATCCACTCCTTAAGAGGCCATTGCTGGACCCAGCTGTACTGGACAGTTTTCTGGGGAAGGTTGTTGAGAAGGTGGTTGGCCTGCTGGTTGCCTTTAAAGCTCTGCATGACATGGAACCAGATTACTTGTGGGACTGCCTGTACCCGATGGTTTCTGCCTGTTCCATCACCAAAATCTGGCAGAGTGGCCATGCTCTGGGTTCCCTTGGTGAAGCAGTGTCACCTAGCAGGCCTTAGGAAGTATGCCTTCTCTGTCATGGTGTCTGCCCCCCTCCCCCCAAGATATGGACAACCCTAACCTTACTGGACTTTTGGAAGGCTATGAAGACCTGGCTATTTCCCAAGGCATTGGGGCTGGGATGTTAATTTATTGGAGCTTTGGTGTATGTAGGTTATAGGGGAGATTGATATTTTTTACAGGGGCCTCAGCCTGGGTTTTGTTTGTGTTTTTAGTAGTTTTTAATTAGTGTTATGTTTGCTGTCCAGAGTTCCTTTGGCAGCCATAGACATTTGATTAATAAATAGATTAATAAATAAATAAACATGCTCTATTAATTAGTAGTTGCATTTCTCCATATCCAATTTCTGTCTCTTAATATATAAACATACATTTTTAAGAACTGACTCCTGTTATAGAATGTCTGCATTTATATTGGTCATATAAGAACTTCTATCTGCATCTGATCAGCTTGTTGATGTTTTGTGAAAGGAGTTTGTTAGTTCCAGGGTAATTTATAGTCTGATTATTTAGTCCATAACAATAATGGATTTTGAACAAAATTTTATCATAAGACTTCTGCCAAAAAAAAAAACCCTCCTAGATGAAATAGTTAAATTGCATGAATAAGCTATAATCAACATCAATACTGTGTCCTTTCAGATATAAAAACTAATAAAGATTTTTTCTTCTTAGAGATTGACAATGAAGACAGTGTGACAAAAGACAGAAAACACTGGCAAACTTCAGCTCCATGGACACTGCTGAATCTCTTAGAAAATGCAGATATCACTTCTGTATGGACTGCAATGAATGAAGGTGACCTTTCTGAAATATTTTGTTTTATATTAAATAAAATATGTTCATTACATCTTAAGATATGAAATGCAATAGACCTTAGGTTTTCCATTGTGATCAGAAATATTATTTCAGTAGTTTTCAAGATATAAAGTAGGCATTCTTTAAAAAGGATATTGGCCAGTTTAAAACTTTAAAATGTACATAGTTTTCCCTGATCATTCCTGACTGAATATGTTTGCTTTTTCAATTCTGTTGCTTCAAAAATACAATCCAATAAAGTATAAAACAATATTTTATTACATTGTATTCTGCCCACTTTATAATTAAAATAAAGCACAAAAGCAGATAATACAATCTACAAAAAAGTGATACAAACTAATTTAGAAAGAGTAGCTTGATAACACCTGAGCAACAATCCCCAAGAGAACAAGAGTAGAAGTTTGAAGTTTGCCACTCGCTCACTTACCAAAGTATCCTTCACTGGCAAAGGAGGAGAAATAAAACAATTTATCTACCTCCTAGTTTCCTATAGGCACCTTTACTCTCACAAAAATTTGTTCCAATGATTTGTGGAATTCTGTAGAACAATATGGGAAGTGAAGTCTAGGAGCTCCAGTGAGAGGGAAAGTTGTTACAAATTGTCCTTCTACCAGACAGAACATTTCTATGACTGAAATAGAATTTACATTTTACAGCATTCTGGGCAGAACTCCTCTTTGGGAGTCCTCCTGCTGGTGCAAAGAAAACACTGAATCCAGTCTGAGAACTTAAATTTCCCAGGGCCCAATAGTTCTGCACAACATGGAATGACTGACATCTTCAGAAACTCATCTATCTCCCATGTTTTCATGCATTCCTCCAAACTTGGCTTCTTGAGGTAGCTCATGAACTATTGATGTGGTCATTGACAACCTAGAAGTTTGGTTTTGCCTGTATCAACAAATTAATGTTCAGTAATCTTGGTTGGAGGAGAATTCAGTAATTTCCAGGAGTGAAAAAAGGGAGAGATGGGGAAAAATGGAAATGTATAGAGAAGAGGATCAAATTTACATATTTTTTCAAAAGACATGGAAGGTAACATTTTTTTTCCTCAGTGGGCCAGGTAAACGAAATACATTCTGAGTTCCCTGAAACCAGGAAAAAATGGAGCCCAAAATTACCTACGACTCTAATGAACATGTTAGCAGAAGCAGAATGTTCCAGTGACACCTTGTGCCAAGTTGAAGAACCTAGTAAGTTGTTTTTGCACCTTTCATTATCTGATAGTTAATGTTGAATTTTATTTAATAACTGGTGCAATAACTGAAGATATCTGTGCATAACAGGTTGAACTAGACTAAAAGCGGAATAGCATCTAAGGTTTGTATTCACTGGGGTCCATCTACAAGTGGAAGAGTGGAATGGATTCCTCTTCCATTATCTCCTCACTCCCCCAATTTGTGCTGTGGGAGCCAGAAGAATATATTTGGAATGTTCCCAGAAGCACAGGGGAGGGCTATGCACAGGGAAGTAAGTTTGCATCATTCTAAGACAGGTTATTCTATCTGAACAAAAGGAATAAATATAAATAAAGAAGTCAGTTTAAAAGTATGACAGGAATATATTTAAATACTGTAAAAGTAATTTCTAAAGGTTATGTACTGTACATGCAGAGAATATTTATTTATTTATTTATTTATTACATTTATCTCCGCCCATCTCCCCCAATGGGGGACTCTGGGTGGCTCACGCAAACCATTAAAACAATAAATATATATATAAATTTATTTATTTATTTAGTAAACTTTTCCCCGCCCATCTCCCCACAATGGGGGACTCTGGGTGGCTTACATCAAATTAAAATCATAA